GCCCCACGCTCGTCCCGGGCCTGGTCGCTTTGCCTCGTCCACCGGAGCAGCTGGGCCGCGCCCGCTGCGGCTGCTGCTGCGTCTCCAGCACCGAAGAACCGGAGACGCCGTGGAGAAGGGCCACGTACTCGCGGAGGATCTGTCCAGACACGAGCTGAACCTGCAAGTCGTAGAAGGCCTCTTTCGGTTCAGCAGGCAGGTGAGTTTTGACTTGGGGGGGGGGGAAGAGTGAGGATAATCGAGTTCGAAGATGTTCGAAGTAGGAATCTTGTGGCTTCCATCTAAGGCCTGCCGAGGCATTGGTCTTTGCGATGTAACCTTGCGGTGTGCCAGTGCAATGCAACGTGAAGCTGCGAAGCTCGGCACAAAAATGCGTTCGGTTCAGCACCTGGTTCGATGGAGAGCTCCCATAGATGAACCGGGGTGGTGAGGTGGTGAATGACCGGTCCAGAACCAGCCAAAAGGCCAGCTGGATTGGTCGCGCCTCGTAGCTGCCAGCCAAAAGGATCAGCCCCGAGCTTGGAACGTCCAGGCGGTGGAGGAATCCACGGTTGTGCCTGTGCAGGCTCGGCGACACTGCCACTCCAAGCCGATGGGTGGCCACACAGGGGGTGACCCACCGGTGCCGGGTGCAGCTGGGGCACTCCTCATCTTTTAGGATCGGAATCTTCTTCAGCACTTCCGCCGCAAAGTGGCTGAGCTGCAGCCGGGTGTGGCCGCCGTAGACCTCCCAGCCTCTCCGGGTTCATGGGTAGTCAAGGGCCATGAAAGCGGCTGAAATATCCCACACACCCTGGCTTGCTGCGGAGTTTCGTTGAGATTGTTGTCCAAGCGGTCCAGTTACTGTAATTGAAACACTGGAGTCAGGAGAACACTCTAAGTCAATACATCACAACCACCAAACATTGAGGTGGAAACCCTGCGTAGACTTCCGTGAAAGCCCTTTTTCGCGTCCCCAGCCTTCGGGCTTGTACAGCACAGCTCCATCTGAAAAACGCATTCTCACCGAAGGGCCCACCTCAAAGGAGAAGAAACCAAGAAGGTGGGACATCAACTCCACAGATCTATCTACTAGTAGCCTTTGAGCGATGTCTGTCTGGAGCTAGGCGTGTTCCAAAGATGTCCAGATGGTTTATCATATTAGGCCATCTCCTCCTACCACCTCCAAAAGATGTCACCATCCAAGCTGCAGCTAGCTGCACCGCCTCAAAGCGCTTCTCCGCGAACCCCCGCGGATTTGGCGCGTCCTCAGCGCAGTCTCGGCCGTCCAAGGCTCGGCCGACCATCCGCAGCGTTGAACGGACCGTGGCGCAGGTGCGCGGCCGCAGGGCACGGGCCAAGGTGGCCGCGTGGAGAAGGGCAAGGACCTTGGCTTGTTGATCTTGATCTTCTTGGGCATCATGGCAACCAACCCGCCATTGAAAGGAAATGCCCCACCGTGCCCACCAATAGTCCAACGGAAACCGATCTGACCGATCTCTCACAACCCGCCAGTTCTTGGATCCAATATGAAGGGCAAGCAGCATAGCGACCATCATCCGCAAACTTCAAGCTGCTTCCACATCGACGGCTCCAGTCTGGCAACCACTCTTCGACCACCTCCTGGCCGTGCGTCCACGGAAAAGGCTCCGGTTCACCCCACATCCAGGCGCCCCTCGCACCAACATCCACCTGAATCCACCTCCATTCGGTGAATCTGGCCGTTATAAATGTTCACAATTCAGTTGGGTTGTTCTTAGCTTCAGTTCTTCATCTCTCTATCGTCATCTCTATCTGCCTGCATGGCCGCCAAGAGTGCATCCTCCGCGCCCAGGGCCGCCTCGGCCAGCTGTCGCGGCACGGAGCTGCCCAGCTTGGACGCAAGGAGCCTATGGCCAGCGTGGCTGAAACCAGGAAGGTCTCGGCCGAAATAGAGCATCAAAATGAAAGAATTTGAAAGAATTATATATATATATATAATGGGAATCCCTTTGGGGGCGATGACTTGCAAATGACACCATGAGTCGAAAACCCGGGCACCTCATCACCACGCCCCTTACCACAATTTCTGGGCGTGTCCGCAGGGCGATTTGTTGAAGGAAGAAGTCCGGGGAGAAATTCCAATGCCTTCCAACCTTCAAGATTCAAAAGTCAAACCCGGGGACCATGGATTCCGCATGATTCCACTCACCTTCACTCATTGTTTTTCTCCTGGGACGGGGGGGGAATAAGTCGCCGCACATCTGGTTGTAAAATGCTGGTATGAGCCTTGGATTGCTGCAGCTTCTTCCATTTCAGTGTTGCGAAACACATGCACAGGCGGCGGCACAAGCGACTCTCGCTGGATCCCGACCTCTGCACCGATCGGTGCAGGGCACCGCGGGCGCCCAACCAAGCGCTGCACCAGAGAAACTGCGCCGCCTCACAGGCAGCCCATGGGCGGTGGCGGAAGTCCTGCAACATGGGACACGCGTCTTAGCCCATAGAATGCATTGCATGCCCGAAAGCCAAACATGCAAAAAAGGAAACCAAAACCATGTCTTGTGCTGCTGTTTCACATGTCTACTTCCATCTCTTGATAGAGATGGAACGGTTGTCACATCCACCGCGCAACTCCGGTCCTCCGCAGCTTCGACGCACGCGGCATGGATGACCTCAGCGTCCTCCACTGACACCTGCTCTGACCGAGGAAGGGGGAAAAGAGCCTCCGGACGATCGCCGAGAAACGTCTCCTCTGAACATGTACTCCCCTGCAGGCGAACATGGATCCGATACGCCGTGAAAGACCATTTTCCTCTACCGTAGAACCCAGTTTTTTGAGGTCCATGTTAATCTGCAGGGGACTACGCTCTATGCCTCAATCTGGGCACCATCCGGGGGTTGGTTCTGATCAGAGCTTCGATCCCTGATTCAAGTTCAGATGATGGGGCCTTTATTGGGTTCTGAGATCAGTGCCGGAAACTATCGAGCATGTAGCATGGATTCGGCGAGTGAGTGTTGGAAATGCTCCGGGTAGAAGAAAGCGCAACTTGAGGAGAATCAGTGTTTGGAGACATTTTGGCAGGAACGCATCCAAAGAGAAATGTATCCATGACTCACCCTTAACATTCATCACAGCGACAAAGCTATCTCCATCGCCCTCACCCGATTCTCGACCTGGGTCAAGGCCCACAGCAGGGAGAGCGGCTTCCGCTGCTGCTGCGAGGCCCATAGCATCACAAGGCCAAGCTCTGGGTGTTCCTTTCGCGACGTCACTGGGCCCCAACCCTCCATTGCGGGTACGATGTCTGGTCTGTGGGAGTGGGAATCTTGGGAATGAAGTGATTTCTTAGCTACTAGTAAGAAGGGCATCGCTACTAGATGTAGCTCCTGGCAACGCTACTGGTAGCAAGAAGCTACTAGTAACAAAGGTTGGATTCTCCTTTGTCTCATGGTGAGAGCTCCGGGCCACGACGGAGCGACTGAGGATCAAGTGAGGCATTTGAGGGGTGGTCCTATAGGTGCCAAGTCAGCTGCCGGCCCAGGACTGGCGGCGCTAGCTGCACCGGCCACACTTCACGAGAGGAGAAGATTTCTAAGAGGAGGACCTAGTAGCTTCCTTGTAGTAAGGCCAGGAGCCCCTAGTAGCGTCCTTGCCTGGAGCCCAGACAAGATACAAATGCCAACCTGGGACAATGTTGGAAGCTCAATGAGGCCATCGAAATACCCAGGCTCCTCCAGACCCCTTTCCATCCCTTCGCCTTTCCCTGCCAGGTCTCGGCCGCGGCGCAGGCCGTGATCGCCGCATCGAAGGCCACCAAATCCGGGCGATTTGATCTGGGCCCTCGCGAATCGATGAGACCGCTAGGCAGAGCATCCCATGCCGCAGTCGAAGTGCGCAAGAATCCTAGGTCCTAGCACCTTTCGGTCGCCCTTCCAATCTGGGATGCAAAACTGGTAGACAAGTGAAACTGAAAACGGATCATGATCATTTTGCATACAAACAGCAACCGCATGTGCATCCATTTGCTTCCCTGCGGCGCCTCCAGCGTTCAACAGCTCACAAGCTATTCGCCAGTCACCTGCGAGAAGAGGGCATCAGCTACCTTACCCCATCCTTTAGTCATCAACAGCCATAGCGCCATGGACCACAAAAAGAGGGATGGAATGATCATTATGAACCTCAACCTCCAAGAAACTCCCAGTCTAAAGATTTCGACACCTTGTCCGTCAGCCGGCATGAAATGCATGGAAAACTCCACGCCCAATACCACAGCTTCCCACACTTTGCCAATACCACAGCCGCCCAACTCCGCCCCTGTGTGTCCCCCGCCTGCGACGGCCGCCTCCAGCACCACGCCACCGCCCCACACCGTGCTGAGGCTGCCGGCCACCGTCCGCAGCGCCCCGCGCCAGCGGCCTCCACGGCATTGGGCGCCTTAGAAAGACCCGCGCCCTGAGAGAGCATGGGACTGGGATGCATTGATAAAGGGATGGGCTGGTTGGCCTCAAGAATGAGTGTAACCTCCTCCCTGGCTCTGTAAGGTCAGTCGCCCATGCCCTAAGTCTAAGTCTTCGAAAGGTCACCCGGCTTGTCATCCAAGTCGCTGGCAAGAGTGTTCAGAGCCTCAGTTGACGAAGCATTGGTCAAGAGTATAACTGGCAATAAATATCGGGGAGGAGGACAAGCCGCTTAAAGAAATACATTGATGAGCAAATCTTTCATTCAACCCTACACCCATCCTCGCAAGCCATCCATCACCCAAGCAGCAACCTCATCCGGCTCCAGGCCGGACTGGCGCAACTGCTCCAGGGATAGTGCACATCCTTGCCACTGCGTTTTGCTCATGACACTGCTGCACAGCATGGTGTCAGTCTGCACCTGCCGCCAATGGCTGGAGGTCAACCAAAGCACAATTGAAAGTGATGTCAGGATGAAGCCATCCGCCTTCCCAAGATTAAGATTTGGGCTGGGTCATGATCGGGGAAGTCTAAGTCCCACTAAGTTCAGCGAAATCAACTCCAAAAGTGCCACAAGATCCACTACCACACCTGCCCATTGCGCATCATCTGCAGCAGCTCCTCAGCCTTCAGCCAACGGCCAGCGGCTGCCAGGCCGGTGCTGGCGCAGGTGGCGACCAAGCCGGGCTCCAGGGCAGAACCTGGCGAGTCGCAAGTCCAAATCCGTCGAACAGAAGTTACAGCTCAGTAGGTCGTCCATTCAGAAGTTATGTCGTTCTTATGCCCCCTCCTCACGATGACGGAGGAGGGAAGTGGATGCCAGATTCAGAAACGCATCCGTCTTTTGCCACGTAGGCGGGACCTTACAGTGAACCCAAGCAATTTGGTACTGCACTCTGCGGCCAGGGGGCATCTTGAGCCATGCAACCACATCAAGGTTTCCTCCCACTGACCTCTCTTTGCGCAAGCGTTGGTGGCAGCTGCGAAGAGGCCCGTGCTCAGCGGTATCTGCAGTGCCCTCATGCGTTTGAGGAGGTGCACACCATGCCGCCACAACCCTGGAGAACCGACAGACTTGCAAGCGCAAACGTATGACGACAGTGCTCATGGACAATGGAAGGAGGTCCAATGTTTGTTTTCGTCGTCGCCAACTGTGTGTGAAGGCTCAAGGCTGGCTCAAAGTTAGACACTGATTTCATCAGATCGCATCTCCTGTCGTTTTCACACTGATTTCACCAAATCTTCGACCCAAAAGTCTCCCAAGGCGCCTGCTCTGCAGCAGGCAGAGACAACGCTGCTGAAGCCTGTGACGTCCAAGGCTGGTTGAGACCTCAGGATCTCCAAGGCTTCTTGCCAGAGGCTTCCCTGCTCGCAGGCTGCCAACAAGGTGTTCGCCACGGGTGTGCTGACAGAGCCTGAATGACAGCCAAATCGGTCAAATGCTGAAAAAGCTTAAAAAAACTTCAGCGGAAGGTTTAAGTCATTGATTCCTTTCATTCCGACCCATTCGTGCACTGCTTGACCACTGACAGCCCTGGCTCCAGCCTTGCACCGTCCACGTGGACATCTTCTGGAAGAGCGCGAGGCCATGTGGCCAAGCACTGCCTCGCACGGCCGCATGCATCGCCGTGGCGTAGGTCACCACATCTGCAGAGAGAAGTCTAGATGGCAAAGCCTCCAGCTGATCCAAGACCAAGCTCCACTGTGCACCCTTCGCGCAGGCATGCAAGCAAGCATTGTGAACGACCAGATTGGCCTGAATTTGGCGCCTGTGCATGACCTCCAAGAACTCCAGTGCACTGGGCCAGTGCTCACAGGACTTCATGGCCGCCGAATAGGTCCTCGCATTGCCCTGCAGTCGGTCCCTCTCAAGCTCGTCCAACAGCTGCAAAGTCCAAACCCAGTGGCCCTCACACGCGTCAATACACGTGGTGTAGGTGACAATGTCCGCCTTCGCGATAAGGTTTCTGGGAAAAGTCTTCAGATTTACTGAGTATGTGGTATAGAGTTTGCCTTGGGTACAGAAGCACATCCTGTCACCCAGCAATAGGCACCTCTTTGGTGTCTGCGTCTGATCGTTTTGAATAGGTCATTCACCTCACATGCATCATCAGCCATTCTCATCGGCAAATTTGACCATCAACATGCTTCCAGATTGTCCGACGAAACTCATCAGTCCCAGCACACATCAAAGTAGGTATCGAAAACTGTTTCCAGTGTGGTGAGTGAGCCTACCCTGCCATCTTTGGTGGTGCAGTTGGCCTGCAGCTTCCTCCCTCGGAGCTTGTGCAGGATCTGCAAAACTAAGGGCCACTGATTGGCACCACAGGCTGCCAGAACCGCGTTGAAGGCCACCAGGTTGGGCCGCGCCATCTGGCCGAGCAGGCTGAGGGCCTCAGGACCAACGCCTTCGACCGACCAAGCTGCAGAAATCGCTCCGAGTGTGCCACGAATTCGGCCGGAAGGTGCTTCCGAAGAGAACCCAACAGGAACAGCCATCGACCAACAGAAGAGGCGACCGGACGGCACCTCTTCCCACTGGGCACCTCTTTGAAAAGCGGAAATCACAGCGCTGTAGGTGAACTGGTTCGTTCGCACAATGGAGCGCTGCATTTCTGCCAGCACTTCCTCTGCTTGAAGCCATTGGCTGCTCCTGGCACATGCAGTGATGGCTGCTGTGTAGACAACCACAGTACCTCAGTGCAAACGTCAACCTAGAGGCATACCAGCAGTTCCCCAGTCCATTGGCAGGAGATGGGGGGCCAACTTCTCGGTGCTGCTCCGAGCGTTCGGCATGTCGGCCCAGTTGCAAGGGCTCAGCTTATTGCCGTGCTGCTTGTGTTCAACCAGCAATCGCAGAGCCACTTCCCACTGTGAGCCTTAAGCAGGCTCAAAGAATTCCAAAGCTTCTCACATCCCTCCGGCCTCAGATCGTCCCATCAATCGCCCACCCTGCCCTGAGCAGCTATTCCCCAGCTGCCTCGCCCGCAGGCGGCGATGGCGGCGCTGTAGACATGATCCAAGGGGATCACCCCCTCCTCCAACGCGCGGCGCGCAAACACCAGCGCTTGAGGCCAACGAGAGCCAGCGCCCAGTTGGCCAATTTCCTGGATGTGGCACATGTGCCAGGCATGACCAGACACTGGGACACCAAAGCTAAAAACTGAAAACCCACTGGAGAACTGAAAAACCTGCAATCAAAACAAAAAACATCATCGAATCATCACGATGATTATAGTAACAATCATCACAATGATGGTTCTGGTAATAATATATATATATATATGTAAATGTATGTAGAATACATATATATATATATGTACACATGATACATATACGAAAATGCCCCGGCGTTGGCCACACCCGGCCAATAAAAAGCTGTCTAGGTTTGCATTGCCTTCTCACGCCCGCCCCTGAGCTTCAGACAAACAATGAGAAGGTCAAGCCGGGAGGTTTAGTTTTTTCTTTCAAAGTTTCTGCTAGAAAGATACCAATCTGTCGGTGTCACCTCCAGCTGCAGTTTGGTGTGCAGTTTGGTGCAGCTTTGACTTGGTCCGACGCTTGAGCTTCTGATTTGACTCCATGTTGAAGTGTCAGGTTCGTCCAGGTGGCTACGGAGACTGAACAGAGATCCAAAAATGGCGGAAGGAACTTTCTTGGTGCGGTGGAAGTGGATTCCTCCGCCACAAACCTCGGATCCCATTGTTGGGGGGATCCGTGTGCATGGCCCGGTTCCTTCGCCCAAAGGGAGAAAAGGCCCCCACCCACCCTGATCCCACCCTCTTTTAGACCACCACCCAGTTGCTGGCCTAGCAAATCCACCAGAGCAGTTGATGGCATGCACCAAGGAGAAACCCGTGCTGCCGTTGTTCTTTTCTTTGAGGTCTTTCCCCAGGAAGGGTCAGGCCTAAGGATCCTGACGGTCCTCTCTCTCTTTGCGTTCGATCCATAGACGCAGGGTGAGGGGTCTCACCAGTCGTTTTGACCTTCACCCCCGGCCCCACTCCCCACCTCTTCGACCCTCCGAGCGTCCACGACCAGCGACGGCTGGGCCTTCATGCCCCACCTCTTCGACCCCGGACCGCCACCGCTGTTCAGGAGCCCCAAAAAGGGCGGCGACAAGGGCGGTTTTCGCGGCAGGTGCTGGTTGAAACTGGTTCGCCCGTTTTTTTGGTTCGCCCAGAATGTTAAGGGAATCCCACCCTGAACCGGATGAGTACATCGTGCTAGGCACATCCTCAAAGAGTCGGAGTGATCTTCGGTTTTCGCTTACAACTTCTATTTGGCAAACCGCCCATCAGCACACTTCAAGCACCTGTGGGCATCCCTTCCATGTTTTGGCTTCACACATCTTCGACTCAAACGATTCAAAGAAACAGAACACCACCGGGCACCACAAGGATCGGAGGAGGCGCACCACAAGGCTCAGCAGGTCCACCTGAAGAACGCTCCAGTCACCATGGCAGTCACCGCCCAGTCACGGCAGTCGTCCTCCATCCGTCCATCTGTCGCTGGTTGGAAGGGCCCAAGGCCGCCACGTTGGACCAGAAGTAGGTGAAGAAGCGGGCGCCGTTCTTGTAGATCAACCAAATGTTCTGGGCCGCGCGGAAACTGCAATGAGAACCCCCAGAACTGTGGGAACATGCGGAGGCTTCTAGAAAAATTGGCAGGGCACCATAATCGCGGATTTGCCGACACTCTCCCTCTCCCTCTCCCTCACCCTCTCCCTCTCACTCTCTCTCCCCTAAGATCCCAGCGTAGATGGCGAAAAGAAGGCTAAATCCGCAAGTCAGCACCTCAGGGGGCGTGGGGGTAAAACCACGCTTCTGGCAAGCTCTGATAAGCCACCGCCGCTTTCTTTTTCAAGCATCGCAGGTTCTGGGCTCATGGCTAAATACACGAAGCTCCCCCCAAAGTCATCGGCAGCCATCAGGGCCCTCGGCCCAGCGCCACGTGAACACACATTGAGAAGTCGCCAAGCCCAGAAACACAATGTACTGGGTGCCAAGTTCAACAAAGGTTCCGCCACAAAAAAACGATTTGTAATTCCCTCTCTCGGTGGTTCCACTCACAACCCCTGATGTTCGCAATCACCTCGTCGTTGGAACTAGTGGTGTGCAGGTATGCGCCCGAACCACCATCTGGGACCGATGTGTACAACAGCACCGCGCGCATGCAATACCAATATCAAATACACTGCATACCATTGTCGGAGCAGCCTTTGTTGTTGGGCCTGTGTGTGTGTGTGTACGCTCTCCTCCAGGCTTCCGGGCAATGACAGCTGCACAGCTCTGAAGGGAAAAGCCTAGGGCTGCGGCACATCCACTGCGGTGACCAATACCACCCCACCCTCACCGCCCTGAAACAAGCCACGACCAAGCACACAGGAGCGACATCTGCATCCGATTGAAGGCTGTCGCCATGGGCAACAAAAGAACTGGAAGTCTTTCAAGCGGCTGTGTCTAGAATAGGGGCCCAACCAGGGGGAGCAAGGCCGTTTCCCATACATAACAGGAAGCAGCCTCATCATGAAACAAACTTAATTCAAACGCGCCGGCGCCGTGCCTCCTGTCGAATTAGGACACCGCCAGCAGCAGGAAACTCGAAAAGAATCCTGCATCAAGGACTGAACTTGTTGCTTCTTCACGCGAAATCAACTGTCCGGATTTTCGGAGAGGCGCTTGATGGTCAAACTCTCAGGTAAAAAAAAGCAAAAAAGGCACCTGCTGTGGACAAAGCTGTTCACATTTGGATTGATTGTGTTTAGCTCGATGATGAAGGCACCTCAAAATGTTCAAGAAGCTGCTAATAACTATCGTCAAACACTCTCCCATGCTCTTCGTGAAAAATACACACTCGTAGTGGAAAACCACTGTTCCATGTTATGTAACGCAACTTCTCTTTAAGTTGCTTGTTTGCACTCCTGCATGCAAAAAGGCTGTTCCCTACAACCTGCCGTGTCTATATTTCAGAATCGGCCGTTGCTCTGTAAAACCTTCTTCGAACAATGCAACTCTCAAGTGTGGGACGAGTTCGATCATCGAGCCATGACCAGGACTGAAGCTCCTGCAACCTGCAACTACAGCACTGGATGGGGGAAAAAAAATGGTTTGCAGTTTGCATGCATTAAAGTGTGTAAACAACGCATATGTGTATAGGTATATATATATATATCTATAACCCCTCAGTGCTCTTGGCTCAAACCTTAGGTTTTTGTCTGCAACGGTCACCAACAGCAGTTGTTGAGCCAGGACTTCTGAGCGGGGAGTGCTCTGAGGAATTCGTACATCAACACCGGATCACATGCAAGCTTGCTGGTTTCTTGGTGCAGCTCTTGAGAAGATCTACTGTAAGCATTGATGAAGAAAGAGCCACAAAACTTGCCGCCCTCGACACAGGATGGGGGTCATGTGCTCTTGGGCCCAAGTCCACTCTTTTGTGCGAAAGCCCACGGGACCTGAGCCCTGATGCTTGCTCGCCGCGAGCTGGGCGAGCATCAGGTGTGGGTTGAGGCTGCTTTTCGCAGCCTAAATGGATAACATGATGGGTCTGACTCTTTGCACCAACCGACCTGGTCCCGGCGTAGGGCCAGAGACTAAGCAACAGGGACTTGGATTTGAAGTCCACCAGGACAGCTTCACAAGCACCTCAGCCCTGACAAGTTGACTAGTTATAAGTGTTTACTTTTTTGGAGCCGGTTCTTTCTCCAGAACAGCTGGACATCACACAGCGGGATGATGCAGATCCATCCGGTGCGCCCACCCCCCATGGCCTGGTCTGCCCACCAGTGAGGTTCAAGCCTAGGTCCATGACAAAGCCATCCCCCGGATAGGTCGCATACCTGGCAAGCAAAACCACAGGACACACGCCATGCCATTCCAGTTCCGTTTTTCACAGCCCGGCCTCCCGACAATCGGCCGTTGCTCCGTAAGAAAGGCACTCTTCCAATCGTAATGATCCTGGCTCAGCCAAAGGCAAAGGTCGGTCATTTTCAGCCCTGCTGACCAAGTTGCTTCTATGGTGGGTCATGCTTTCAAAGTCTTCCAATCGTGGATCAAACCCTATGCCAATAGCATCGAGTAATCAAACATTCCCCCGCTTCTTGGTCGGGCACCTCCTCCCGCACCCGAGGGTGGTGACACTCCCGCACCGGGAAACATCGTGCGCCTTGAGGTGCTGCGGCGTCCAGGCGGGCGCCCAGGACATGGTACTCTGCACCGCCTCGGAGAAGTCGGCGAAGCAATCCGTGACGATGGACGCCAGGTCATCGAGGATGCTGCAGGCCTCCACCGGCCGTGAAAGCGGGCGACGCACGACCGCTCGTGCGAGTCGTGCGTGGCGGAAGGAGGCAGGACGTACCGGGAACTAAGCTGGATCTTCAAATGTTGGGCTTCATCTGCCATGTGCACCTCATGAGCCAACAAAAGGGTCCACAGATTCCTTTGTTGCTTCCTAACGTTGGCCGTCAGGTGCGTCCATAGTTGCGTCGTCCAAGTTATGGCTTGCCGATCTGAAACTTGCCTTCTTGGCCTAAGTGAACCCTTTCACTGATGCCACCGGTCTTGCAATCCAACTGCGCGGCCAGCGCGGCACGCACCTTGTAGTACTGTACTCGCACTTGCCGCATGCGGATGGTGCCAATGAGCACGGAGGTCTGTGTGTCCCCAACCTGGATTTAAGAAAGAATTGCATGACGTGTATATACAAATACATCAGCGAGCTCGTGTTCTTATACACATTCCACAAAACGCAGAATATCGTTTCCCTACATGTTCTACTGGCGAAGCTTTGCAGCTTCGATCTGGGGCTCCCACATAGCGGGGTGTCCAATGCGGGGTCTCATCCTGTGCAGCCATCAGCGGAAAGGGCTCAGAAAAGCTTTGGCAAAACGACGTCCCGGTTGAGACTTCTCCCCCGCTAGACAAGGCCGCCCCCCATGGGCGAGGCCGCCCCCATCGGCCACAGTTCAAAGCCGGTCCTGCAAACGGTACACCGATGGGGACCTGAGCCAACGGCCAGCGTGAGGCTGTGAATGAGACTCTGCGGGTGAGCAACCGAGCTGCCCGAGAAAAGGTGGTCATCAGTCCCTGCTGGCAGCCTGCTGGATGCAGCATTTGCATCTATTTCCACGTACAGTAACCACTTGAAGGACCCAGCTGCCGGGCTGAAAATCAAGTTTGCCCGGGGCCGTTCTTCATGTCCCCTCTTTCACTGTGCTCAAGGCTTCACCACAGAAGGGTACTCCGTGCGGTCGGTGAAGGCCTCAGTTGAATCGACCAAGAGAAAGAGTCGATGCCACTCGGGTCAAGTCTTTCTAAAATCGGAAACCAAGTCCAGTTCTTTCTCTTTACCCATTGCATCATCACCAGGTGGACCCATTGCATATTCCGGACCTACCGGACGATGGTTGCAGGTGGATGTTGGCGACTTGCGTTCCATCGTCTCGTCTCCCGTGGCGACTGGCGAGTGCCAAGGTGCGAGTGGCACAAAGTCATCGACCAGCCAGGTCATAAGAGAATGCACGTCCTTGACATCCTCAGCACCCACGGGGGGAGACCAAGCTCGAAAGTGCATCACTTGCCAGGGCCAAGGGGCTGGGAGACCAAGCTTGAAAGTCACAGGCGAGACATGTTGAAACCCTCACCAGGGCCCCGCACATTGACCTTGCAGTGGCGTGAGGTCGCCTGCATGGCCGAACATCTCCGGAAGAAGTGATGGCAAGCCACGCTGACCATCACTGACTCATGCAAAGCCATCTCGGAAATTTAGGACCTTGGGACAGTATGAACAAATATATGTGCATGTGTGTGTGTATTTGCATGCAGCATAAGACTCTCATAGCTGGTCTTCACACTATCCACAAGTCCACAAGCTGCCCTTACAGTAGCTTAGGCTTAAACTAAAGCTTCATTGTCTGTTATTGACCGCATTCCATTGGGAAACTCTCCGCCCCACTGCATGCCAAACACCGGCAGTGCCTGCATGGTGCACCCACCCCAGTAGTCTAGCTGCTGCCTGCACATGAGCCCCATTTTGGGGACATGAGCCCCGTTTGGTCTGTCACTTTGCTCCGGCTAAATCTGCTTAGGCTTAAAGGCACTTAAAGGTGCTCAGTCATCTTCACCCTGCCCCGCCTCCTGCTGGAGTAGAGATCGCCAGCCTTCTCGGAAATCAAGTACGTGGTCAACACGAAGAGGAACATTGCAAAGAAGACACCCTGCCCATCAACGCATGGCTGCAACGACGAGCGGTCAACTGCCCTGAACTTCTATCCAGGGAATTTCAAGGATCACGCAACCAGCTGGGCCAGTCACGAATCCCACGAGTGCCCACGTGAGCACAGGAGAGCTGTGCCTATCCATCAAGTGAAGCCTAGTTTGTTCTTCTTGGTGTGGCAGCCTTATACTTCAAATTCAGGTGCTGAGGGATGGTACCAGAGATCGAAACATAACATCCATATGGTCCATACTTACATTCCTTCTTGGTGGGCGTGAGGGACACCCGTTCTCCTGAGCTGAGCTGCTACTATGGTGGAAGCTCCATCATCTCAAAACCTGTTGGGTCTTCACGGACCTTGGCACCTTCTTTTCACGTCTTCTTGCTGCCCCTTCACCCACCCACCCTCGCACCACGGATCCTTTTTCGACCGACCAGCACTAGGAGCTCTTCCGCCGCATCTCTGCCATGCGCAGCTCGCTCTGCTTCTTCACAAAGGAGGCAGCCAGCTCGCGGTTCTCGACCTCCACCTGTGGCTCTCAGGGAGCAGAGAACCACTGACCGGACCCGTCCGGGAGGTGGGACATTCAACGAAAAGGTTGGATAACAAGGCGTGAAGGAAAAGTGAAGGAAAGTGGTCTTCACCACAAAACTTCCATGATCATTGTCATACTGACTACTCAACTACTCCTGCATCCATCCAAACGTCTGCACTTGGGCCTCTAACCTCCCAGCAAGCCATTGACGTTTCAGAAGTCGGAACTGGGGAGCCCCACATTGGAATCCTTGAAGTGCTGGCTGGCCATCGAGAAGGCCTTGTCTGCAGTGGTGTGGAACTTCAAGCCTTGCCCTTCCAACCAATCGCCTGAGTCCTCTTCGCCACCTGACAGTCCAGCACGAAATGTTCATCAGGGCGGTCCTGGGTGGACTGCCTAGGAGGTTACCCCACAATAAGGAAAGGTCCAGACATGAAACATACAACTACGGACTTTGACCTCAAATCGTCCTTTGATTGTCGCTCGCTTCCACCTCTAATGCTTTCCCGCAACACGATTGAACGGTGGGAAAATCCAAGCTTCTAGGACCTGATGCACACTCTCTCGGGCAATGTCCCTTAGTTCCTCACAAGCTGTTCGGGTGCTCCATTGAAAAATGCCAAGTTCTGAGGCCTTCAGTTCGGATTTGAGTCGACGGAAAGAGCTTCATGGGCCAAGCGTCCTTCACCAGCCTTCCAAATCTCATTCATGGTCAGCCTCTCATCAAAGTCGGGGGCTTGACCCTTCAACTCCTGCATCTTTCTCCTCACGGGGCGCACTCCTAAACCTGAAAAAGGTCACCGAGCCGCTCAGCACGCATACACACACCAGTGACAAAACAAGCTTGAAACCCAAAGACCCCCAGTCCTACCGTCTTTGCCCTTTGCATCTCATCCCATCTCCAAACACCCCCAGCAACCAAAGCCCCTTCAACGGTCAACCGTTCACTTTCGACAACACGTTTCAAATCACTTGCGACGCGAAAATTGGCGTCACAAGCGAACGCCTCACCCCATTCAACCACCCCCCCACCAAGAAAACAAAATCCCTCCAACCCCCGCTTTCAGCGAGCATCTCATTGGCCGCCAGCGCCTTCTGGGTCTCTTGCTCCAGATCCTCTCGGTGCTTCAGCTCGGCGGCCTGCGCCTGCTCCGGCAGCTTCGAGCCCTTCAGCCGATCCTTGAAGTCGGCCAAGGTGTTCCTCGGGTGCCAGGACGGCCGACTTGGGCGGGCTATTGGCATTGATGTCCAGAACAGAGCGGGAGAAAAATCTGGGGGGCAAATGAGACTTCATTCCATGCTGAAGGGGAGCATTGAAGACTATCTGGATCAAAAATCCAATAAACAAAAATGCACCGAAACCGCCCTCCTGAGACGGGTTTTCTACGACTTGACCGCTTGTGCATGGCCGCAAAAACAACTGTAAAGACTGCTGTGCCTCTGAGTTGGTGTGGGACACTTGAAGAACCTTCTAGAGCATGAGAGGCGAAAGCATATAAAAATACAACCAACAGTTGAATGATTGAGAATCTTCATGTCTTTGTGCGACATCACGACCTTTGTCTTGGCCTGCTTCTCCACAACTGGCGGCTCCACTGTTGCTCCTGCTTCCTCTGCCTGTTCCTCCTGCTCGTCCGGCAAACCAAGAATGCTTGCCTTACTTGGGCCCAAGGCCTGTTTCTTCTTTCCTTTCTGTGCATCTCTCAATTCCTTCTCAGCCTCCTTCTCAGCCTTTAATCTCGCTTTCCTCTCCTCCAGTGTCTCTTTGTACACCACAGAGGACGAACCATCTTCATCCCGACTTCGTTTGTTGCTGCCAACCTTTTCATCCAGCAAGGGATCTCGCTTGGTGTTGGCACCCTTCAGCCGGTGCCCCACAATGAAATCCGGGTGCTTCACTTTCTTGAACATGGCAAAAATCCGTGCCTCCCTGTCGAGGCTGGAGCCCAGACGCTACCCCACGGGTGACCCGTTGGACCCCCGTACAAGAGCGGAGTTCAACGCAGAAGTGTGAAGGGCGCCCCATGAGAGCGCCCGTAAGCCCACAAAATATATGCAGTTACTCGTCGAAAGTGCCTCTCACAAAAATAGTGCCAGTTATCAGGCCGGTGCGTGCCACAAATGGTCTACATCTAAAGCTCCTGAGGTGTACTGGGGACATGCCCACGCATTGTTAGTGCAACCCACGCACCTCACAGAACATTAGTTTCATCGTCTTGTATTCCAGCGACTTGGTGCGGTAGACATGACCTGGACGACATCAAGAGCCACATTTCGGCATAAGAAATGTGGCGCGTGTGGCCTGGATCAAACTCCAAACACCGGTCAAACGTCTATGATTTCCTTTATTAAATTTGAATATCAAACTCCCTTGCAAAAACCTGTGTTCCTGTTTGTCTGATCTTTTTGAGGCGAGGACTGCTATCCATGTGCTCGAGGTGTTTCCAAAAGCGCACATCCTCAGCTCAAATGGCCCCACAAAATGACAGACCTGGAAACGTTGGCTGTCTGAAACATGACGCAGGCGAAGGCTCTCTCAAAAAAAGAAACAGCCCCAAATTTCCCGCCCTGACCATGTGCTTTGGGGCCCGCTGGGTTCCTTGGTTCCTGGCTCCCAAGTGTAGGTTGCTGTGCCGCTCCTGAACTGCAGTATGGCAATTAAGTTGGTTCATGAACCACATAACCTGGCTGTGAGGCTTCTAGCCTGGGGCATGATCGTGATCTATATAGTTGCACCAAGGGCGCTGTCCTCTTCCAGGAGGCGGTCCAGAAATGAAAGGGGGCCGTCCTGAGGTCACCATTCACTATTCTTGCAAACAGCCCTTTGATGACAGAACTGTCACAGCAGCGTTGCAAGCACATGGCTGCACCTCTCCCGACATCGCTGTGCCTTGGCAAAGCTGACACACCCACTGTCCCACTCTGCACTGCGGTAAGATGAAAAGAAACGAAACCCAAGGCCTGCTCCACAGATGCGGGATCTACTGCATGAGTCAGTGCTGCATTAAGGTTAAGTGTTTACCGATGTGCGAAGTTGCAATGCAAAACAACAAACAATAGCCTCCATGCCCAGCACATTTTGCAACACACACACACAAACACAACTGTAGCCAAATCCTGCGGCACACAAACCATATGTACAATGTGTTCACGCAGCGAATTACCGATGGGACAGTGACCCTACGCAACGCTGCGCAACTTCGCCCCGCCAACGGACATGTATTTCGCGCATATTTGCAACCGCCAGGAGAAAAAATCAATTGTGCGAGGGTTTGCCTTTCTGCTGATTCCGGAACTGGCCCCAAAAATCGCAAAAACAAAAACAGCGATTAAATTTGACCGTCCACCACCATGAGGCGCAACATCGGATCGCCTTGGAACGAAAATCCGGCCCTCCCGAACGATCCCAGTGTTTGCTCAACGACACGCAGCTTGCCGGCGGAGACACGCTCGAACACGCGCAATGATGTATAGCGTTTCCGGCAACATGGTGAATTTCAGTGGTGCCAACTCTTGGTGACCTTCAGAAGATTCGGACCCAATGAACCCGGATGAAATGGGAGAATCAAAAGCGAAGCTGATCAAGAAGGCAGTAGGAAGAACAAACACCAAGAAAACGCACACGTACGACTCCCTGTCTACCTAAACAAGCCTTTTCGGCCAAACCCCCTGCCACTGTAGTTCCTTGGCACCGTTGCATCATGCCCCGCTCCACAGTTCGACGGCCACCGGGGTCCTCGAAGACAGCCGGGCAGTGGTTTTTCCTGTTAACCTGGGTGGCACCGTTGTTGCCTCACCCACCCAACTCCGCCAACATTGCGCCACATGTTTGGAGTCCGGCCACTACATTTTGCAACAGCCATTGCAAGTGACCCAGGAACGTGCTGCACGCAGCTTACACAACTGTGTTCCTCGCCGCGGAGCTAACGTGACTGCCAAGCCCGTATGACACACACGAAGCAAAAGTAGTTTTTCAACAGATTGGGGCAAAATTTCGCCAAAGCCCGAGGCACAGCACGAAGTCACCGTGTTGCACAATTGCGAAACTTTTCACGCTCGTGCCAAGCAGCGGCCTAGTCAAAACACTTCTCAATTTGTGCGTGTCATCCTTTGATGAGCTAGCATGTGAGTACTTCTATGCATGTCAAGCACTCCTCCTTTGAGTTGGTGCGTGCCACGCTTGCAACTCAACTTCCTGACCCTTCATGGGTAGAAATTGGGCACATGATGTACAGAGCTCCTCATCAGCTCCTGCATCTCAGCCATCCAGGTGCGGTTTCCGTTCCTGTGGCCATGGAACCAAACCGCCTCCATCTTCAGGAGTTCTTCCCTAGAAACCAAACCCGCTCTGTTGTACGCTCGGTTAAAATGAACATACTGGGATTCGGGGATCTTATGCTCTCAGGCTCCCAGGCGGCATTCACCACCTCAGGCAGACTCTCTTGTTCGCTGCCCATGGATTCATCTTGTACTTCAAGAAGAGAATTGTGTTCCTGCACCATCGAATCGCAATGGATGCACAAGGCCATCGAGAAGCTGCCGAACAACAAGGCGGAGAGAGTTCCATGACAGCTGACTATGTGGAGCGAATGCATCGAGGATTGATCATTGCTGGAGGACATGTGGGAGATCCTTCAGTGCAGAGGCTGGAATGGCAGAGCTTGCTCTATGTGGAGGAGGTCCACAGGTGGCACGATGGATTGAAGCTCAGGAAGAGATGGACCAGGATGGAAACCATCCAGGAAGAACGTGGAGATCAACTACCTGGAGCCGGGGTTGCCAACATAGATGTAGATCCAGGAGAACCAGGATTGAGCGGAGACACCGCGATCATCGTTTTGGATGGAGGCCGCATTGTGGAAGTTCTGGTGGTGAAAAGTCTCGTACGAAACGCTCGTACTGGAGACTTGCCACTTCACTTTTGGAGGAAGTTTCGCACGAAACGTGCGTTTTGGAGACGCTCATTTTGGAGACTGGGCGCTTCCTTTTTGGAGGAAGTCTTGTACGAAACGCTCGTTTTGGAGACTTGGCACTGCACTTGTGGAGCTGGACTCAGACCTGGCCAGTTCGTAGTGCAAGTGTAGGGCGGGAAAAGCTTTTCGGAGCTGGACTCAGAATGGCCAGTTTGTAGTACAAATGCAGTGCGGGAAAGAGCTTGTCAGAGCTGGAGTCAGAAGTGGCAGACGGTGTGGCGACCGTGGCGCCGTGCCACTGGGAGCGCAGTACATGCTGGCGTAAACGCGGCGTGTCGCTGGTGAGCGGGATCATTGGCGGTTTCATGTGGTATGTTTGCTTCTAGTGTGTGGACAGACCGTGTGGCCAAAGTACGTTCGTGATGTCGCAGCAGTACGTTCGTGTGACTTCATCCAAGATCCCTGGCACCCCACGTCACCGGCGAGACTCAAGGTCTGCTCCATCAAGTACTCGAAGGGCTGCCACGTTTTTGTTTGGGACAGTCGCTTCAAAAATGACAAGCATAGTGGTTGGTTGTTCGCTACATCTAGAGTGAAGAACTTGACCATTTCCCCTTACCAGCAGCTCGAACGCTCGCGAAGTTGAGCGGAGTTTGGGAGGCCTGCGTGCTACTTACGCTACTGGGGGCTCCTGGGCTTACCACTGCGAGCAAGGACACTACTAGGGCCTCTGGCATCGCTATTAGGAGGAAAAGAAGGCCACTAAGGGGCAGACTCGCTACTAGAAGCAAGGACGCTACTGGCTTTGCACCATTGACGACTTTTAGATGTAAATAGTGAGTGGAATATTTCCCGTGTTGGCGAGTCGGTCGTCAAGTGTGAAGCACGCGAAACATTTTGGTCGAGGTCCGACTTTGGTTCGTGACATGGAAAACAAATGCGAAAGTTGTTTGAGGCGTGGACGCAGCGCTGCCCAAATGTCGGTGGCTTGCGAAAGGTCAAGAACTTGCAGAAAAAAGGTGTTCCTGCGCGTCAGAGAGGCATAAAGAGAAAGACGCATACACACACACAGACATAGATACACACACACAGACCCACACACTGCCTCGACACACTAAGCTTAACACTTCACACTGAACACTTAACACACAACTCACACTCCAACTTCACACGTGGTGAAAAATGTTTTCGGGCCACTCGTCGTCTAGTTTTCATACAGTTTAAGCTGTGACCGCACAAGCATGTCAAACGTTTAGGTTCACTAAAGGAAAAAATCATCCGGATGTTATGTTTTCAACGACGTCCACTGTCGCTGAGGGATTTGAAGCCCGTAGAGGCCTTAGAAGACCAGACTGTCGCTATAGCTGGCAAGCCAAACGAGGTCGACCTGGCGATGAAAGCGTCATGGTGGTCCCAGCGTGTTGGTTTCCGTGTTGTTCCCTTGGGGGCCTACACCTTGGACGCTGAGAAGGTACCGACCCTCATTGGCATGAAGAATGAAAACCATGGAAAAAACAGGGCTGTTCATGGGTGTTTGTGTGTTGTTGCCGTGAGCCATCTCACTAAAGGTGACGAGCCTTTAACTGAACAGGCTATGGGCCTTTGAATCTGAGAACGGGCCGGCTCAACGTGATTCAACCCCTGACGAACATGGCAGCGTCAGAAATGTATACGGCGCCCTGTTAACAGATGGCGCTTGATTCATCTTCACCCAGCTGGTCGTGTCCAGGTGGGCATGTCACTGTCCTGTCACGCTCATCCACTTCTTCACCTGAAACCCAGTTGCGTGATGAGAATGAGGGAATTGTTTTGATTGAGCAAAGTGAAAGTCGCGGCAAATATAAAAACTGCGCGGCACTTTGTTGAACTGGAGATTGGGTTTTCTCTTTGCGATGACGAGTGGTGACCACGCTGCCAGATTGGAATTTGCTGCTTGTGTGCCTTGGCCATTCTTGGGTCCACCTTGGAGTTGGGTTTTTATCATGGTCACGGTTCTTC